CTGACTGCGTCGGCGTTTTCGTGGATTTCCCCATGTGGAATGTGTATGGAGCCAGTTTCACTCATAAAATCCTCCACGAAAGCATCCCTCCCCTCATTTAGATATCCCTCCCGTGCCTTGCCATAAGCAAATACCCCCTCCTCCCCCCCAAAAAAACAACGCTTCTCATATTTCTGCAACTTCACTTGGCTTTTCTTTGAAAATATTATTAAATAGATTACCAAATTATTAAAATAAATAGATTATTAATTTTTATTAAATAGATTAACCCGTTGGTGACACCGCATATTATTCTACAAGTCGTTAATTCGGACACCCATAATCCGGGAATGATCTATAATCCGGACCTCAAAGCTAAAAACTTTCTGCGCATGCGCCGCGTTGACACATGCGCATAGGCGTTTACGCGTGCGCGTAAGACCTTTACGACTGCGCATATGAGTGTGCGCAAGCGCAGAATACGTTTTCGCGTGCGCGTTTAATGTATAACGGACGGTATAAGCTAAAATTATCTAATTATCTATTTCAGTTAATGTTGATGATTGCGTTGTTCCTTAATTTTCGAATTGGATCCGGCTTATTATTTTTTGCAGACTGTAAGAGCAATTTTATAAAAGTAAGCTTGAACTTTCGATTATGTCAAATAGAATTTCCGATGCTGGAGCTCCCAAAGGATCCACAAAACGAAAGTATGTTTCGATGTCCGGCAAACAAAAAGTGGAATTGCTGCAAAAAATTGATAAAGACATGAAGAAGATGACAGAGAGGTTAGTGAAAACGAAAAAATTTCGATTGACACGTTAGTCGGTACTCTCGGCACAGCAGTTACGGGACTTGAACAGCGAAACTTTGTAACTGAACAAGAAATTATGTCTGTTTATAGAATTAAAGAGAAAGTATTATCACATAAAACGAAGCAACTTAAACAACTTACATTGAAAGAAATGTTTAATAAAGTAAACAAATAAATATTAAGCTTTTTTTTTTTTTTTTTTTTTTTTTTTTTTTTTTTTTTTTTTGTAAATTTTGTTACCCTTTAGATCATAATTGTTCTTTATTTCATAAATTACTGTTTCATATTTTTAATTTTAGAATTTCTGCATGCCATCTTACGAGATTTAAACTGATGATCTATAATCCGGAAAAATCGGGCATCGCCGAAGTCCCGACGAATTCGGATTAACGACTTTTGACTGTATGAGAAAATGGAACAAGAGAACAGGTGTCAAGGCCATACATACCTTTCACTCATATACCTACTAAATCTCCTGATACGTCCTTGGATGTTTGCTATTTTGCACTTTAAAAAGCGAATTGTCCAAACGTCGATGTACAACACTCTCTGGAGAGCTCTTCAAGGGGAACGAAATAAAATAAATCTTCAGCTACCAAAAAAGCTTAATTGTCTTGGAAATTACAATGTAGAAAAATAGTGAAAAATGAGGATTATCAAATAGAAGTTTTAAAACACAAAAATTTTAGGTAAAATATTTCATGTTTGGAATTTGTGGCCATAAAGGAGTGTATTCCTGTGGACTTGCGAAACTTGAACTAATAAACAGTTTTAATCCTCGTGTAAAGCTTAGTAAAATAATCAAAAATTGCTTGATTAGTGTGTCAGATGTCATTTGATGGGTGTTTTAAAGTAATTGCTTCGTATGTGTGAATGAACGTGGGTGAATGACGATCTATTCGAAATTCAAGCTTTGTTGTATCGCACGATAGACAGCACGTAAAGACGAAGGTTATGTTTCAGCAGGTATTTATCCCACATTATTTGCACAGGAACCGAAATCGAGTGTTATCCCCCTCCCCCCTTTTTTTTTTACTCCACCCAAGGTAGGTTTGTGCAAGGACAAGGCCATATGAAAATTGTTGTTTGAGGAAGGACACTTTCGAACGTTTTTGCATATTATTGTAGGAAGCTCGCTATGCATGTAGGTTTGATTGGTTGAATGGAGTAGGAAATACAGAACGCAAAATGTTTGGCTTAAATTTGAGCTATTTTTCTATTTTAATGTGGATGTAAGGACGAGCATTGTTAGTAAACAACACTGTGCGATTGAGAGTGATTTAGTTGGAGGAATGGAAATTCAATTCAGTTAAAATTGAGATAAATCCTAGAATAAGATTAAGTTGATCTTTGATGCATTAGGTGTGTAAATATGAATTACAAGTTTTGTCAAAATCATAGTAAAGTTGGACTTTTTTTTTTAAATTTTAAACTTTTAATAATATATCTTTCGAACATTAAGTAGGAAAAACGGGCTGTAGATTTCTTTCAGCCGAAAAGGACGTTAGTTCCGAATGGAATATTAGTTTCAAAACAGGATTTGGCATTGAATCACTGTAAACCGGGTATTATAACTTTTCAAATTGTTGCCAACAAATATTATCGCCCTGTATTATGTTAAAAAATTAAATACTAAAGAATCTGCATGAATGTATATATGCATATTTCTCGCACTGTGAAAAAACAACAGTACTTAGAGCCATCCAGTTGTCAATAACGTAGTCCTCCACCCGAGCATGGGCATCTGGAAACCCAGATTTTTGATTCTGAACTTTTTTATTTTCTACTTCATATTTTGTAAAACTTTAACGAATTTTTCCTTAAAAAAACTCAACGATTTTAAATTGACCAGTGGCCACACTATCTCCAGCGCGTGATGCTGTCTGTCGGAAATTCTAAAGATATGCTGTTTTTAAATATATTGTAATTTTGCTGTTGAATCGAGTTTTTTGTGTCGTAAGTTCCAAGAACATGGTATTTAATAAATGAGGTAAACAAACAAAACGTTAATAAAAGTTTTATAAAGCCATCTTAGTTATAAAAATGTACACTGATATGATGAACCGAGAACCCCCCCCAAAAAAAATCCCCCCTCCAAAAAAATTTATGCTTACGTAATGCTGCGTCGTGAGTTCTAATCGTATATTGCTATGCTGCTTTTAAAATTTTTATAATTTTGCTGTTGAATAGTATCTGTGGCGTAATTGCGAAAAAAATGATGCTTAATAATAAAGCTAAAAAGACAAAAAAAAAGGGGGGGTTAGTAGGAGTAAGTGTAACAGCAGGACTAGTAGACTGCAAGCTCAACGAGAACTTTAAAAAACGTTAACAAATCCTTTTGGGACACCGTTAATATCTGAAACCTCTCAGATTTTTGTTGCTTTTCTTTTTCACTTTTTATTTCAAGATCAAAATTTTTATATGAAACTCTACACATCGAAGAGTGACTTATTTTGAGCAAATTTAATAATTTTATTGCTCTCTATTTAATTACGAATTTTTGATTAAGAAACTCAACGATTTCAAAGCTAGCAATGGCAACACTGTGTAGGGAAGAAAAAAACTTTTTTAATCTTCAGCGCGCAAGATTATGTGCCAGAAATTTTAAAGATACGCTCATTTAAGAGGGCTCATACACCTTAAACCCCTTATGATCTTCGAATATGTGACTGTTGCAAGAATTGAGATATTTTATTTATTTTAAAAGCAATTACTTCCAACTTTTTACAGCTGACTACATAATATAGCTGCTTCAGAAACTAGTAACCAGAAGTGTTGCCACAAGTATTTTTGTAATTTAACCCGCTTTGTGACAAAAGTTTTCGTCATGTTTGCAACTTGATCGCATGATATTTTAAATATGGCTAATGGTACATACTTGAAATTGGATGGAATTCTTTACATGGACAGTATTATCTAACTGAACCCAAAATCTGATGAATATTTTAATATTAAAAAACTTTTAAGGACGAAAACATTACAGATTTTTTTAATAAAAGACATTTTATAAACTCAACTCCAAATAAAATAAAAATTTAACATGAATTTCTCATAATTTTTGGTTCACAGTAGTTTCCAAATGTTATAAAAGCTATATATTAAATATGGAATTAAATTATGCTACAAAATGTTTTAAACTGTGCGCGCAAGGTGGAAACTTAAAATTTTGTCACAAAGCGGATTAAATTATAAAAATATTTGTGGCAACACAAACTTTCTGATTACTATTTCAGAAAGCAGCTATATTATGTAGTCAGCTGTAAAAAGTTGGAAGTCATTGCTTTTAAAATAAATAAGTTATCCCAATTCTTGCAACAGTCACATATTAGAAGATCTTATGGGTTTTAAGGTGTATGAGTCCCCTTAAATATTTTGTGATATTGCTGTTGAACTGAATTTTATGTGGTTTAAGTGCGAAGAACATAATATTTAATGAATAAAAGTAACACACTAAACGTTAAAAAAAAGCCCTTTTGGGCGTGATATAAAATCTGAAAGTTTTCAGTTTTTTTTTGTTTGGGGGGGGAGGTGTACTTGAAAGATTGCGTCATTAAAATAATGTTTCACTGCAGCGTTATTAAATTTTATGTGTTTTATGACTTATTCTGTATTCTGTTGCGTAATAATACTCTTTTTAAAATATGCTGTGTAATATGTATTTTCATCGTAAAAGAAATGGCAAAACAAATTAATAATAATAATGTATTCAAATCATTTTATTTTTTGCTCTCCAAAAGAGGTGTTGTAATTAGCCGAAATTCGTCAATCAAGCCTATTTCTCATGCGTCGTTCATTTATTTGGCCTTCGATATCAAATTCATTTTTTAAAATGCTGTGCCAAATGAGCTTATAATTTAACACATCGATCATTAATAACGACATTAAAATGTGAAAGATTTTAATAGAAAAAGTCATATTAAATGTCTGTATAAAACTATATTATAATTCTAAAAAGACGCTTGCACGCAATTGAGGAAACGCCCAGTTTATATAACGAGCTTGTCATGTTTTGAAATCGTCTGCTGTTGTCATTCTTCCTTACATGGAGAAGACATGTCAGCTGCCATTCACAACGAAAGAAAAAGTTTATTCAGTCACATATTCCTATCACTGTTGTTATTTTTTATTATTATTTATTGAATTTATAATTAACTTTTCATTTTTTAAGCATAATTAACCTGGTATCTTTTTTCTTCCTTTTATATAGATGAACGTGATGCCATCCAAAAGAAAACTTTCACGAAATGGGTCAACAAGCACTTGAAAAAGGTGAGTATACACGTTTCTTTCTGACAAATATTTCTATGGCATCGTTGTCTGTAACAAGAAAAAAGGAGATTTTGCGCAAGTTTCTCGCGCAGATAAATCACTCAGTATTTCCAGGTGTTACAATGGTTTTCGTTATTGGGACATTTGGGTTGCTCAAAAAGAGGATTATTGTTTTTCAGACCTTTTTTCATTTTGACAAAGCTCCTTGTGGTTCCAGATACGTCTTGCATTCGAAAAATTTGCCTTATTAGGAAAGATTTCTAGATGGTAACGTTGAAATTTCATTTTAAGGTGTTAGTTGTAAAATGTGCCTAATCTTCGACATTTTTCGATGGATGTTTGCTGTTATGGATTGAGAATTTTTGGATAGAGTTTCGAAGATTGTTATCGCAGTGTTTATACTTAATAAACATATGTATAATAATATAATATATATACTTGATAATATATAGTAAACACTGCGATGGAGATTTTCAACTTTTAAGTAGCGTGTTGTTCTGTGGAAATCGGTCTTCACGAAATCCATAATTAATATTATAAAAGTATTCAGTAATTTTTAAAATAAATAAGCATAATCTTAGTTAATGTTAAGCTTAGCATAATGTTATTGTGAAAGGAAAAGTCATCAAAATTAATTAAGTTTCAAAATTGGGACATTGAACTTTTAATTGCAAGAAGAAAATTCCCCCATTGTCTGTCTAGAACTTTCAGATTGGAAAAATTTGATGTGTACACCACATGACTTCCTTGTAAGGAATATTAAACTGTATGCAATTTTTTGCTGCATTCTACTTTAGCTTACTTATTTCCTCGAATTTCATTAGGAATAGATTTCTCATTCATTGAATTCACTTCTAACTTCGCGGCAATACATAAAATTTTAAAAAATGCCTTTATTAAAAATTTAAAAATGCAGAAAAGAATAAAACACCAAGTGCAGTTAAAACAGTTAAAAAAACAATTTTTAGAAGTAAAATTAGAGTTTCTACGGAAAAAAAAAATTTCGGCCAGCAGGCAACAAGGCAGATTTTTCGGTACACAAAATTGAAAGTTTATTTTTGGTTCCATTCGGCAAAACGACATTGAAGGTGAAGAAACTTACTTAATTAACTATTCTGCCAAGTTTCAAATGTAAACAAATGTGGCTGCACGGTAAACAAAATTAGGCTTAGCAACATTTAAACAACTTTTAAATTGTTGTTAATGTTAAAACTATTGCATGTGGATTATCTAAAGGCATAAAACCTTGACCGGAAGATAAGAACAGCATAATTCAATAATTTTTAAAGCAAAAAGTGCACAATTTACTAACGTATAAGAATAATAATTAAAAAAAAAAAGGCTCACGGAGCCGAATAACAGAGTGGGTATATATAGTTATATACTCTTGGTGAAGCCGATTGTAACCAAAATGGGAGGTGCACAACTACATGTTATAGCAGTCCTATATGAAAATTTCAACGTTCTGAGGCTACTCGTTTTCGAGTTATGCGAGATACATACATACGTGCGTGCAGACGTCACGAAAAAAAAATCTCTCCTGAATCCGTTTCAAGTCCTTTTTGCAGCCCGTTTTGGGAGACAGAGGCCTTTATTCTGTCCTTATATACTGATGTCACGCCTAAACATCGTCAAAATGCATTCGACAGCGGTCAAATGGGTATTTTCGGTGAAATACGGTACCCAAAAATTTTTTCGATTACAGTACTTCGAGGAAGTAAAAAAGTCGTTTCCGTAGTAAAAATCAAAGTTACAAGAGGTTGCATTTATGTTTTGTTAATGAGAGTATTTATTTTTTTCCTCAAATGAATTATTCATAAAGAATACACATCATTGTTCTGAAGTCTTACTAGGGAAGACGAAAAATCTCTACATTTGACGCAAAATATTCGCAATATATGCAAGTACAGATATACTGTTTGTGAATCCGTTTCCTTGGGGTACCGTGTGGATAACTTGCAGATATTATTTATAATTTAGTAAAGAATCCTAATTTGTAAAAAGTCCTCACAAAAGAAAAGACTTAATTAAAAAAGAAAAATCTGAAAGCTTTCAGATTTTGCATAATGCCCAAAGGAGCATTTTTTTAACGTTTTGTGTGTTACCTTTGTTTATTAAATATCATGTTTTTCATCGAGTTTTTTAATCAAAAATTCGTTAAAGTGTTACAAAATATGAAATCGGTAATAAAACAAATTCCAAATTAGTTCTTCCAGATGCTCATATTCGGTGGAGGATTACGTTATTCAAAATTGGATGGCTCTAGATATCGTTGTTTTATCACAGTGCGAGAAACACATATACGTCTATGCAGATTCTTCATTATTTAATTTCTTTAAATATAATACAGGGCTCTTGAAATTTGGTGGCAACAATTTAAAAAGTGTTTCGCCGTTTATAAGTGAATCAACGTAAAATACCAAAACGAAATTAATAGCCCATCTGGGCTAACACCCTTTGGGCTAAAAATGCTGTGCAAAATTATCCATGCTTCTCGGTAGAGCTTGCCAACAATATTTCTTCATTGCATAAAAGCCGGTCTAATATTTTAAGGAAAATCCATACGTCTTTCCTCCTTGAAATAGTCGACCTAGCAAGGGGATGATAATTCATGAAAGATTTCGAGTTCCGTTTTTTCGGTTGCGCGAACACATTGGTATTCCGTGCTCTACCGCCATCCTAAGGGAGTCAAGGTCATCATCCAGCGGCCTTCCCCCCCCCCTGGAAGGCCGAATTATTCCTTCCCATACCGCTTCGTTTCCCCAGTGCTTTAATATCCTCATCGCAAACTTGTATTTTCACTTATGTCGTAAGCTGTGTCTGTCGTTTCGCACCATGACTTTGGTGAACGAAGGTTGATAATTGATAATGGATTATTGAATTATGCTTCTGAGCTGACAGCTTGCGCCATAAATTATCCTTTCCCTTCAAAGACGAGAAAGAAAAGATATTTAAGATAATAGTAAAACCAGATCCTTCAAACATTCTCTGTTTCTTTCCATTGATGTGATGTTCTGATGACCATAAATGTGGAATTTACATATATTGTTTTGCAAGTTGCCTGATGTGGTGATGTTTACAATGAATCAAAGGTTGTAGCCTGTATTTCACGAGCAACTTCTTTCAATAACGGTTGCTTTAGCAGGGAATTTTTAACGTAGAATTCTGTTTATAATAGAAAGCCTGATTGAAAATAAAATATACATTGCGGTTATAAATATATAAATTATATCTCTTTACAAAAGATCTTCACAAAAGGTACTATATGTTCTAAATATTTAGCCATCCAACGATGCCATCAAATATTATTTGGTTATTAATATTATTTATATATTATTTGTACAAATATAATGTGTCACAAATATTATTTGTTGCCACCAAATATTTCAAGAAAAAAAATTTCAAGGAATTAAATAATGAAGAATCTGCATAAATGTATGTATGTTTCTCGCATTGTGATAAAACAACGGTACCTAGAGCCAACCGGTTTTGAATAACGTAATCCTCCACCGAATATGGTCATCTCGAAGCCCTAATTTGGAATTTGTTTTATTACAGATTTCATATTTTGTCAGACATTAAAGAATTTTCGATTAACAAACTCAACGATTTAATAACGAGCAATGGCAACACTGTACGGGGAGGGAAATATCTCCAGCGCGCGAGACTGTGTATCGAAAATTTATTTTAAAATTATTTGGTGATATTGCTGTTGAACAATATTTGATGATATTGCTGTTGAATTTTTATGATTTAAGTTCGAAGAACATGATATTTAATAAATAAAGTTAACACCCAAAACGTTAAAAAAAATGCTCCTTTGTGCGCAGTGTAAAATCTGAAGGCTTTCAGATTTTATTTTTTATTTATTTATATATTTACTTTTAAAAATAATCATTAACGAAGACTTAAAGAACATGAGAAAAAGGAATTCTTTTATAACGGGCTTTGGCTGTGATTTTGAATATAGTCTAAAGTTACGACAAATGGATGTAAAGAATTATAGTGTTTGTAATACCGTTTTGCAATTTTTGCTGCCTCGCGAGAAAAATGAAAAATTTAAAGATGATACCATACCCGTTTGCGCCCGAAAAATTTATGATGAATTATCCTTAAATATATTAAAAGTTACACGTTTAAAATATAATATTGAAGTATATTAAAAGATAAGTCTTATATTTAGTGATTACATCTATATGTATTTATTTTACAAAAGTTACAACCATTTTGAACACAATATTTAAGATTAAATGCGGTACTTTTTCCTGACACAGACGTGTAATGAAAACCTTTCTAGAAAAGTTTCAAAATATCAGTAAATAATTCTACGATCGATTTCCATAAATTTTATTTCTGTTTTGCGGAGATCACTCTGAATAAAAGGGATATTTATCGTGCCTTAGTTTGGTATTTGATGCTGCACTATTGCCATCATAAGGGAGAATAAATTTATGTGTGTTATCCTCTTGCATATGAAGTTGCTCATCGGGAAATAAAATGGTCATTGACTTGGTATCGGACTTTTCAACGTGTACTTCCTGATAGTTATTCTTTCCCTGCCCCCGCTCTTCTTCCACTAGGGACGACCTTCCTAATAAACACCCTCACGGCCTTCGTTCACCTGTCGGCCTTTACCCTCCGATCGTCATTTGTTATTTTAGCTGAAATCGCAGTCGTGCGATGTTATCATCTGCAGTACTGTGGATAATCATATCGTTTGTATCAGCTGACTTGGAATAATATCTGAATAAACACGTGATTGACTGATTTACATTGTATTGCTTTTTATTACCTTTTATCTCCTTTTTATTTGTATTGGGTAGTATATTTTTTTTTTTTTTTTTTTTTTTTTTTTTTTGTACAAGTAAAGACATTTTCGAGGATTGTATACTGGATTTTTGTCTTGTGTTATAAGATTTCGCTCCTAAGCCTGGATCTGACATGACGATCAATTTGCACGTCAGAATCGCTACGGACTTCCACGAGAGTTTCCTCTGGCC